ATTTATTTGAGAGAGAGAATGAGAGAGAGCACATGAGAAGGGGGAGGGTCAGAGGGAGAAGCAGACTCCCTGCCGAGCAGGGAGCCCGATGCAGGACTCGATCCAGGGACTCCAGGATCATGACCTGAGCCGAAGGCAGTCGCTTAACCAACTGAGCCACCCAGGCGCCCGAGGGGAAGTTTTTAATAATAAAGGGATGTTTTAATTTCTGTTAAAAAATACAAAAATGAAGTTGTTCTGTTATTTTTATAAATAAAAATTATGGTAGTCATTTACTAAACGTCTTATTTCTACATTTCCATACACTAGCTACCAATTTATTAAGGATGGATACCTTCACACTCTTAGACAAAAGGAATTTTTTTTAAAATTTCCTAAGTAATGGACTATCTTGTCAGTAGATTAAAATATTGTCTTTACCTTATTTTAATAGATACTGAAAATGTGGGATTTTCCACTTGATTTCTTACTTGTTTCACCATATCTCGAACAAGCTCTGGCTTGTTTATTAAGCAAGCTCCATAACCTTCTGCCATTGCCCACCTTTATAAAGCAGACACAACAAATGAATTGTAAATAGATGGACGAGGAGATACAGTTTTAAAAGCACCGTAAGTACATCTATTTCTCTATCTTAGTGACCTGGAATGGAATCAGATTTTTATAATTCACAGATCCAACATTTTAAAGTGGATCGATAGGAGATAAGGAAAACATGTTCCCAGATCAAAAAGTACTTAGGAGAAATGGTTTTCATTGGCAAGTGAGAAAATTAAATTAAAATTAATTCAACCAAAACAGACTTAGGTATTTGTAATTAATTTCAATTACTTCAGATTTTTAGAATTCCAAATTTGATGTTTATTGTACATAACAAGATTTTTATTAATCTTAATAGTAGAAAGATATTTTTGGCTTACAGCATTCCAACACCACTAAACAGCTTATTTAACTCTCCTAATGAGTATACAAATATGTCTAATCTGGTTTGGATTATGATGTACTTAAAACCTTGATTTTATTCTTTGGACAAATTTTGTATTATTGACAGATAATCTGACCTGGTGCTAGGAAGGTAGGAATATTAGTATCAAATTAAGCAACCTATCAATACCCAGTTACTCAGACTCAACCAAACAACTATGGTATAGAAAGAAAAGGTAATTATAAGAAAGTATTCTTATAGAGAAAATTAATTAGGAGAAAACAAGTGGTGATTTCTCAAATCATAGAATCACAGTTTCTTGTCTGACATAGCAGTAAAAATTCACTTTAGGGACTGCTATAAATGCTCTAGTCTTCCCTAGCTACTTATGGGTCAGGTTCAAGGCAGATCACACACAAAAAAATTCTAGTGGTAAGACAAAACACTAATCTATACCTTGTTTTAGGCTTCAGAAAATACCTTTGCATATCTGTTCCTAAATAATCTTTCCTTATTTTTTTCTTGCTTATTTGGAGCCCAAGTGCTTTAACTCTATTTTCTTTATTTTTTTTAATTCTTGGAAGACTAGAGAAATAGTTTATCATGTTCACATAGTTTTTTTCTAATTTTTCTGAAAATTCTTCCAACTTCTTTAAGCTTTACCTCTGAGGGCAACCACAGTTAATGTCTATTCCATTCGCATAAGGACAGACAATACGAGCAGCATCAGATAAAAGTCTTGCATCATTAGCAGCAAACTGAACAATCAATGGGCAATCACCTGATAAAATGAATAGCTCAACATTAAAATTCACAGAAACACACACACACACACACACGATACACCAAACTCGTCATGTTTGTATGGGATAATAACTATTTTCAGCCTAAGAAGTATCTGTTCAAACAACATAGCATTTAACTAATTTTAAATATTTTAAATTAAAAGTAATTTACATTTAGTTTAAATTCAAACAGTATAAAATCTGATAAAATGAACATTACAACCCTCCTGACAAACAGATCCCATTTCCAAAGATGAGAATTAGTTTATTGTATTCCAGAACAATTTATGTATACCTGTAAAATTTAAGCAAATGTGAACATTTTATATATATTTCCATGCCTACTGCTTTTTTTCCCCCCTTGATATATCTGGGAGTTGTACTCAGACCTATTTTCTTCTTTTTAGTAGCGTATTCTTCTGTATGGACCACAGAGTGTACTTCTAGACTGTTTTTCATTTGTGGCTTTTGCAAACAACGCTGTGATGAGAATACTGTTAAACACATGCTACTCTGAGTGTATTCATAGGGTAAATTCCCAGGAATGTAACTGCTGGATAGGCATCTAACATTTTGATAGACACCACAAAGCTTTCTTTCAGAAGAGTTTACCAATACAGATACACAACAATATGGACGGCAGTTCTTGTTTCCTCACAACTTATTCTACATTGTATATCCAACAATGTGTATTTTTATTTGTGGGTTCTCTCTCCATATTCTTTGGCTATTTTTCTACATGTAATTCTTCTTTTAATTGTTCTTTATTTTCTTATTATTTTTAAAAATTTTATTTATAAAACAAAGAAATGAGTTCTGCTATCGTAAATATATATCTATTTTAAAGATTTTATTTGAGAGAAAGAGAGAGAACGAGCAGGGGAAGGGGCAGAGGGACAAGCAGACGCCCCGCTGGGCATGGAGCCTTGATACAGGGCTCCATCCCAGGGCCCTGAGATCACCACCTGAGCCCAAGTTAGACGCTTAACCGACTGAGCTATCCAGGTGCCCCTCTATCGTAAATATTACATTCTTTCCAGGTTTTGGTTTGTCTTTGAGTACACGTGTGCTCCTTTCTAACATATAAAAGTTCACATTTTAATATAGAAAATGTGTCAGATACTTCCTAGGTTTTAAGGACATATTTTTCCCATCTTCCTTTGGGTTAGTGTTATAAACTCTGGATAGATGTATTTTAATCTTTCTAAAGTTCTTTTGAGGACTACCTATATGAGATTCACTAGGTGTTTGCCAAAATGCAGATTTCTGAGCATCATCCCAGTTTCACTGATTCAGAATTTCTTTTTTCTGTTTATTTTTATTTTTTTATTCAGAATTTCTATGGCAATCCACTGATTTATAGGACTAACATGGGGTAGGAGAATTTGCTTTTCCCCAAGGATATAGGATGTTTTTCCCTTTATAACTCAAAGAGTTAGAGTTTCAATTTAATAACCATTTATTAGTTTAATATATTTTCAACACAGGGCTAGAAGCTAAGGATACAAATCCATAAAAGATAATTCCAGACTTCAAGGAGCCCATAGTCTAGAGAATGGGAGACAGGCATACAAAGAGGATATTATAATACAGTAGAATTAAGTCCAATAAAAAGCCTGTGAGAGAGGATAATAGTGGAGGGTGATCTGGCAAACTCCCTGAACACAAACTTTGAGAGCTGGATTAAGAAGCATGCAGTGTCGTTTGCCAGAGAGATATGGATCTGGGGGACGGGCATAGCTGAGGAAAGGATATTCTACGTAGAGAAGTATGAGAGGATGGGGCACTTTCAGGAACTTAAATAAGTTAGTATTATTAAAGAATAAAGTTGGTGGAGGGTGCCTGGGTAGCTCAGTTGGTTAGGCCTCTCACTCTTGGTTTCCACTCAGGTCATCTCATGGGTCGTGGGATGGAGCCCCATGGCAGGTTCTGTGCTCAGTGGGGAGTCTGCTTGAAAGACTTCTTTCCCTCTGCCCCTCTCCCACTAGCATGTGCACATACACTTTCTCTCTCAAAATAAATAAATAAATCTTAAAAAAAAAAAAAAGAATAAGGTTGGTGGGCTGTGGAGAGAAACTAATGGAAGATAAAGCTGCATAAGATATATTCAGAGGCTGGATCATGAGGAACATTATAGATTATTCACAGGTATTGGGATTTTATTTTAAGTAATCTCTTCACCTAACCTGGGGCTTGAACTCACCACCCTGAAGTCAAGTGTCACATGCTTTACTGACTGAGCCAGCCAAGTACCCTGACACGTACTGGAATTTTACTCATTAGGCCACTGGTTTTCAATCTTTAGCAAACTCAGAATCACCTGGAGGGCTTTTTAAAACAGACCGGGGGACCACATACCCAAAGTTTCTGATTCAGTGGGCCTGGAGCAGAGCTGAGAAATTTCCATTTTGAACAAGTTTCCAGATGATGCTGATGCTGCTGGCCTGGGGTTTCAGCCCTTGAGAATCACTGCTTTAGGCCATGAGAGGTCCAAGAAGGATTTTAAGCAGGGAAGAGATGTGATCAAATTTACATTTTACAAAGGTTCCTTTGGGCTATTTGTAGGATGGTTTGGAATGGGGCAAGACTGGAGGCAGTGAGATAGGAACCTAATAGCTCAGGTGAGAGGATGGGGCCCTAAGGAAGGCTAACCTCATGCTTAGATGTATCATCCATAGTTTACAGGGCACAGAATAAAAGCATACTTAAAAAACTTACTAAAAACATAAAAAAACTAAAAGATTTAAAAATAAAATATCTGAATTGTGCTGTTTCTGATTAGACAAGATTTTTTTTTTTTTTTTGGTTTTACAAAGTCAGCAAACTCTGGGTTTCACATACCTTGGTTTGTCGTAAATTCACTGTCTCGGGCTTTTATAGATCTGACAAAATCAGCAGCAACTATCATTGGTGTATAGCACAGATCACAACTGTATTTTCTTACTAATGTTCTAAAAGCCAACCTGCAAGCATATAAAACTTTAATTAGGCATTTAAAAAACACCACAATCATATGTACTTCCAAGTTTAATTTAATTACTAAATATTTATTAGAGGAAAGTTCTACCTTTGAGAGGCTAGAGTAGATGTACTTTTTCCTATTATGGCTGTGAAAAAAAGAAAAAAACAAGCCCAGATTGGAGTCATTTGCCCCTCCAGACCACAAACCAAGACTTAATTACAGTTTCAACCTATCCCAGGAATGTGACCTTTTAAAAGTCAATCTGAAATTTCTTGAACAGCAATAGTATAGTACTCTGCAGGATAAAAAAAAATCCCTGTTGTTCCCATCCCCACCAAAAGATATCCTGGCCTGAACCAATCTTTTCTTTTCTTTTGCTAATAACTACTTGTTCCACCCTCCTTCCTGTAAAAACCTCCCATTTTATAGAACTCCATGGTGCATCTCTCTACCTGCTAGGTGGGATGCTGTGCGATTCATGAATTGCTTAATAAAGCCAGTGAGATCTTCACATTTACTCAGCTGAGTTTTTTCTTTAACACTGCTCGGTATATTATATATAAAACAAACATAAGAAAACTCTGAAAGGTGGAGAGAAGAGAACAGAAAGGCTAGTGACCTTGGACCTGAGGAACAACAGTGGTGAGTTCCCTGGGTTTCTTTTTTGCCTCAAATATCCCAGATTTGGACCTGAAGAAGCTGGAACTCAGAAATACCAATGAGTGCAGACAAAAAGAGCCCCAACAAAAGTCAGCTCTCTCACCAAAGGACTAGGAAAGGGGAAGCCTAGCAAGACAGAACAATTTTAAATAGTGGCTCTACTCCAGCCAAACACCAGAGATAAAACTGTGGCCCCACCTCCAGAAGCAAAGGTTGAGTGGGGAGCTTAGATTTGTACTTTTCCAGGGCCAAAACAAAGTTCTCTAATACCTCTTCATAGTGGTGTCAGAGAAAGCCAGGTAGGAGCTGGGACTTTAATACTTTCTCCCTTCCCAAAATAAAAAAAATTAAAAAACAAAAACAAAAACAAAAAAAACCTTTCTCCCTTCCCACTGTTAAGTAGTATCAGAGGATGCTTAGTGAATAGCCAGGACTCTCAATAGAGTCCGGCAGGTACCAGGCCATCCCCTCCATGGCTTACCCCCAGCTCAGCAGTAATGAGGCGCCCCCTGTCCCCAGAGTGTCAAAGAAGACGAAATAGGAAATCTGGACTTTTACTTTCACCTCAGAGTGATGAGGTAGTGCTTTCTCATTCCTTTCCTGCTATAGTGATGGCAGGAAAAAAAAAGTTAAAACAGAAGGTTTGATATTTAGAATCAATCAATATAGTCCACTTTATTAAAAGGCTAAAAGAAAAATCACATAATTGTATCAATCAATGTAGAAAAAGCATTTGACAAAATAATATTCATGATAAAAAGAAAAAACCCTCAAGAAAACAGGAATAGGTAGGAACTTTCTCCACTTGATAAAAAGCATCCACAAAAAACTCCTACAGCTAACATACTTAAAGGTGAAAAATGGAACATATTTCTCCTAGATCAAGAAAAAGGCAGGGGCACCTGGGTGGCTCAGATGGTTAAGCGTCTGCCTTCCGCTCAGGTCATGATCCCAGGGTCCTGGGATCGAGCCCCACATCGGGCTCCTGGCTCAGCGAGGAGGCTGCTTCTCCCTCTCCCTCTGCCTCTCTCCGTGCTCATGCTTTCTCTCTGTATCTCTGTGTCTCAAATGAATAAATAAAATTAAAAAAAAAAAAAAGAACAAGGCAAAGATGCTTGTTCTCATCATTCTTATTTAACACAGTGCTGGAACTTCTACTCAGTGTATGAAAAGGAAATAAAAGGCATATGATGGAAAGAAAAAAATAAAACTGTCCCTATATGTAGATGAGATGATTGTCTACATAAATAATCCCAAGGAATTTATTTTAAAAAACTTCCAATAAGGAAGTTCAGTAAGTTTATAGGATACAAAATCAACATAAAAATCAATTTTATTTCTATATACCAACAGTGAATACATGGACACTGAAGTTAATAGTATAAAGCCATTTACAATTGCTACAAAAAAAGAAATAATCAAGTGTCTTACAAAACATGTATAGCACTTAATATGCTGAAAACTACACACGACGATGAAAAAAATAAAAGATCTAAATAAATGGGAAAGATACTATGTTCATGAGTTGGGAGACTCAACACAGAAAGGAATTCAATTCTCAAATTGATACACATATTTAATATAATTCTTCTGAAAATTCCAGCAAGATAATTTATAAGAAATTATTGAGAAAGGCAAAGGAACTAGAATAGCTAAAACAATACTGAGAAAGAAAAATAAGTGGGAAGAATTAATCTACCCAACTTAAAACTTATTATATAGCTATAGTAATCAAGATTGTGTAGTACTAGCAGGGATATAGACTCATAGATCAATAGAACTGAATAGGGAAAAAAAAAAAAAGATCAGAACAGGGAATGTAGATAAAGAGCCACATAAACATGCCCAAATGATTTCTGACAAAGATGCAAAAGAAATTCAATACTGGAAAGATAGCCTTTCAACAAATGGTGTTGGAGTAATTAGACATCCACAGGCAAAATAAAACAAAACAAAAAATACCCCTTCAACCTAAGCCTCACATTTATACAAAAATTAACTCAAAATTGATTTAAATGTAAAACAAAAAAAAACAAGACTTTTTGAAAAAAAAGTAGAGGAAAAACTTTAGGACTAAGAGCTACACAAAGTTCTCTTACACTTTACATCAAAAGCACAATTTACAAAAGGAAAAACTGGTAAATTAGATTTTATCATTAAATAAAAAGCTTTTGCTCTGTTAAGAGGATGAAAAGATAAGCTACATTCTGGGAGAACATATTTGCAAATCACATATCTGACAAAGGAATAGTATCCAGAATATATAGAGAACTCTCAAAAATCAGTAGTAAGGAAAAACTCAACAACAAAAATCTGATTAAAAAATGGGCAAAGGGCTTGAGTAGACATTTCTTCAAAGATATACCCATGGCCAATAAGCACATGAAAAGATGCTAAGCATCATTAGGGACATACAAAACCACAATGAGGTATCACTTTACAACCATTAGGATGCTATAGTAAGGGATGCCTGGGTGGCTCAGTCGTTAAGCGTCTGCCTTTGGCTCAGGTCATGATCCCCGCATCGGGCTCCCTGCTCCGTGGGGAGCCTGCTTCTCCCTCTCCCACTCCCCCTGCTTGTGTTCCCTCTCTCGCTGTGTCTCTCTCTGTCAAATAAATAAATAAAATCTTTAAAAAAAAAAAAGGATGCTATAGTAAAAGCAAATAAACAATACAATAAGTATTGGTGAGGATGGTGAGGAATTGGAACTCTTGTACACTGCTGGTGGGAATGAAAAAATGGAAAACAATATGGCGGTTCCTCAAAAAACTAAAAATAGAATTGCCATATGATCCAGCACTTATTCTGGGCATATATCCAAAAGAACTGGAAGACGTATTTATACATCCATGTTCATAGCAGTATTATTTGCAATAGCCAAAAGACGGAAGCAACCCAAGTGTCCATAAATGAATAAACAAAATATAGTACATACATACAAATGGACTATCATTCAGCCTTTAAAAAAGAAGGAGGTTCTGATACATGCTATGACATGGGTGAACCTTGAGGATATTACGCTCAGTGAAATAAGCCGGTCTCAAAAAAACCCAACTATTATATAGTTCCACTTATATGAGGCACCTACAGTAGCCAAGTTCAAAGAGTGAAAAAGTAGAATGATGATTACCAGAGAGTGGGGTGGGGAGTGGAATGGGGAGCTATTGTTTAATACGTGTAGAGTTTCAGTTTTGTAAAACAAAGAGCTTTAGAGATTGGATGTATAACAATGTGAATGCATTTAACACCACTGAACTGTACACTGACAAATGCCTAAGTTGTATCTTACCACAACTGAACAATTTTTAAAAACCAACTCAATAGTAAAAAAGCAATCTAATTAGAATATTGGCAAGAGACATAAAGAAACATTTCTTCAACAATATACAGGATAAATAAATACACGAAAACATTTTCAACATCACTAGCTATAAAGGAAATGGATATTAAAATCAATGAGATATCACTACACACCTATCAGATGGCTAAAATAAGAAACACGGTATTATCAAAAGTTGGTGAGGATAAGGAGAAAATAGATCCCTCATACTCTGTTGGTGGAAGTGTGAAACACTACAGACACTCCGGAAAATTTGGCAGTTTCTTAAAAACTAAACGTACAGTTACCACATGACCTAGCAATTGCAGTCCCGGGGATTCGTCCCAGACATATGAAGACTTACAAACAAAAACCTGTGCATGAATGTTTACATTTACTTAATATCTTTTATTTAATATCCTCTGTATCTTTATAGGTGGGGGTTACAAACACTATCTTTTTTTATAGATATAGAAAGTGAAGTTTGAAGGGGTTGTTTACTCAAGGCGACACACGATAGGAAAACAGTAACACCAGCACACAAGCCTAGATCATGACCCCAAAGCTAGGTGTTTGATGATCCCATATGGTGGTCAGAGCATAAAAAGGAAATCACATCTTAGCTCATTAACCATTTACTAATACTTACTTTGAATATCGAACCATTGGGGCACAGACTTTTACCAGCTGCCCAGAATGAAGCATTTCTATTGGATCTTTTTTTCTTTCTTGACATATTGTGGTTCGTATGCAGTCACTCTTCATGAATACAGATTTGTTTCAAATCTGACAAAGACAGTTTGCATAGAGAAAAATTACTTTCATTAGATGAATTCCCATCATTCTAACAATTTCAATTGCCAAGAACGTGTATGTGTATATGTATATATATATATATTTTTTTTTTGGGGGGGGGTCAGGCTTGTGGGCTCAGGAATCTTTTTAGCTTCTTTTCACAGTATCAAATAGGATACTACAGAATCTTGTCTCTATAAGTCACTGACAGTTTTTAGTACACTGTGAAATCATCACGTTTATATATTCGGTACAAATTACGCTTGTTCGTGTCAAACACTAACAGTTTCAAATTCTATATTTAACTCACTAAAGTAACATTTTCTGCTCAAATTAATAAATGCTCAAGATGTGGAAAACTACAAGTTTTTTTTCTTAGAATAACATGGTTTTTCATGTTATGTTTAAAATTTTCCATGTTACTGTTTGGTATTGATAAACCAGAAACTTTGATTTGAGTAATTTCATATATAAGACTGCATATGTCTGGCACTTTGAAATACTTTGTTTTATGCAGGAAAGCTAAATGGCATTAATTGAACAACTTTAAGTAGTTAGCATTTCAAGAGATTTACTGGTCTTATTTCATGTTTATTCTTATTTGCAATTTCTATTCTTTTTATCTGAATCAGAAGGCAAACACACTTTTATTTAAAAAAATTTAAATGTGGTATCATCTAGCAAAAATTTCAATTATAATCATATAATTGCATAGTAAATCACTTTTATACCCAAAGAGGTACAAGTGATTAAATTATAGTTCGTGTTTTTAAATTTGCTATACCTAAAATCCTGTCATTTCATAGTGTTGGCTGTTTTCCATATTCCAGTGTTTGGCTTTAGTAACTTAGCAACAGTTATGGGCAAACTTTAGGAAGGTCTAATTGCTCAACATGCAATTTTTTGTTTAGCTAATCCAGAAAGTACTATAATCTAAATATAAACCAATAATTTCAATTTCTTTAGGTATAATGTACAGTTGAAATAAGCTAGTTTTACTGACCAATGCTCAGTCTTTTACCTCTTTTTTATTTATTTTTAAAGATTTTATTTATTTATTTGAGAGAGAGAGGGAGGGAACAGGGGGAGGAGCAGAGGGAGAGGGATGGGCAGACTCCTTGCTGAGCACAGAGCCAGATGCTGGGCTGAGATCATGACCTGAGCTGAAATCAAGACTGGGATGCTTAACTTACTGAACCACACAGGCGCCCCTTACCTCTTTTTTTAAAGTAAAAATTTCTGATTAGAACAATGTAAGCCCACATACATAGGTAAAACATAAGCAAGAGAAAGGTAGTTCCTTTTCACGAGTCAAGCCTGTTCCTTCTCTCTTGCATTTTGTGTCCTGATTATGCCACCTCTACACACTCAAGTCAGAAACCTGGGGTTTGTCTTCCACTTCTCCATCTCCCACAAGTGTGTCAACCAACTAGTACCTTTAATTAAATCTTGAGCAAATCTTCATTGCCTTAGTCTATGTACTCATAATCTCCCATTTTGATGACTCTGACAGTTTTCTCTGAATCCCAGATAGAGTTGATCTACCTTACCCACTACACCCTAGGCTCTCCTGTCATGTGCACTTGTAATTACTTTTACAGAGTATAATAATAACACGTTCATTTCTTCTTGAGCTTTTGAGGGTATGGACACGTATTTAATCATTCAACAAATATTAAGTTCTTGTTGGGAATACAGATGGAAATACATTTCTCCTGTCTTTAAAAATCTATTAGACATACACAAAATGGTAGTTCTAATACATACACTGACACACAATTTAACTGTTGTGGAAATAATTGTCTAGAGAAATGAGGGAAATCATCAACAGTGGAGGAGTGAAAGCTTGAGCTGACATGTGGGAGATGGGGAACTGTCCTGTTACAGGGAGCAACATATATAAAACCAAAGAGGCTTGAAAATGTTTGATGAAATAAACCTGAAAAATGAACCATTAGTAGTGCCGTGTTATTTGAGATTAGGAGTGAGAAGGCCTAGATAATCATGGACCTTATATTCCATGTTAGTAATTTTTAGATTTTATACTATAGAACTTTGATTCTTAACCATTTTTCCACCTTTGTGGGTGATTTTTCATATGCACCCAACATGTTAATACGTGCATATGACATACTTTCATACATAGCAGATTTATGTACAGGCTGTATGTCTCTCCTTGTATATTTGTAAATGAAACATTTTAGCAGGAAAATGACATGATTAGATTTCTGATTTAGAAACATTTCACTGAAGGGGGTAGGGCTTTTGGCAAAATATCAAAGGAGGCTATTATAGTAAACCAGTCCAATGCATGAGTATCTGACCTGGGTCGCTAGGAAAAAGAACACACTTAAGACCTATTTAGAAATAAAAATAAAAGTAAACTGGCAAGATATTTAGGAAGTGGAAATCATTTCAGGACAGTGCATGTTTTATAGTATGAGAGAATTCTAGGATGATGTATATACTTTGGCTTTAGAGGCTAGGTGGATGGCAGTTCCAATCAATGAGATAGAAAATGAGGAGGAATAGGTTTTAGCAGGGAAACATGAGTTCATATTTGGGCACATTGAACTTGAGGTGCTCTTGGGATTTCCAGATGGTGATGCCTCACAACTGCTTATAGAGATATGGTGCTCAGGAAAAAGCTAGACATACAGACTGAGAGTCTTTAGCCTTTAGGTAATAAGTTGAAACTAAACACATGGACGAAGTACTTAAGGATGCCATATTTTGCAAGAAATCCTTAGAAGCACCAACATTTAAGTAAAAGACAAAGAATAATGCAAAGGAAACTGAGAGATGAATTCTGGAGCTGAGAAGAATAAACCCGAAGAGTGATATTCAAAAACTGAAAAGAGGGGAGAATATCAAGGAGGGAGGGGATAAGCAACTTAAACATCACAGAAAAGTTAAGAAAAAGACTAAAAAGCATCTAATAGCAACTAGGTCGTTAGTAACTTCAGCAAGAATAATTTCATTCTTATTCATTCTTGTAGTTCCAGTACATGGCACAAAGGCCTCCCTCAATATGTATTTGCTTAATGAATAAATCAGTAGTTTTCAATCTTGGTTGTAAATTAGAATAATCTGGGAAGTTTTTAAGAATCAGGATGCTCAAACCATACCCCAGACCAATTAAATGTGACTCTCTGGGCTTAGGATGCAGGTATCAGTGGTTTGTTAAAGCTCTCCAGGTGATTTCAATGTGTAGTTAAGCTTAATAAAGAAATTCATAAACTGCAAAGCACCTTACTTATGAGCTCCTTTGGAACAAGACAGGAAATGAGTCTCATCTGTAAACTGGTGCTGATGTGTATGGTTGGGGCTCAAATCTCTTCACTAAGTGAACGAATATTATGCAACTTTTCTACAATCTTCCAATGTAAAGCCAAGAAAAAAAGAACCCGTAATTCAAAGATGATACTTATTCATCAACCTTAAAGAATTACTAAAAATTTTGTGTATTATAGATAATGAAATCTAATGTGAGTCTGAGCACGCTGCCCTGAACAATTCCTGTGACTCATTCAGAACAATTCTAGTCAGATCGTGATTGAGACCAAAAACACTAGGGAAAAACCTGAGACAAAGTCAAGAGAAAGCATAAGGCAGTGTATCAAAAGACATGCTTACCTGAGTGGTTATGTGTATTAAATGCACAGAGTACTATTCTAGCACCTTGTTGAAATACTGTTAGCAGAATCGAGACAACCGTGTAGCTCCGGAATCGGGAAAAACTGGTTCTCCGTGTACAGGGTGTGTTATATTACAGATTCTCTTTATGTAGGAATGCCTAACCTTCTTGCACAAGAGTAGTTAACCTGTTAAATTATCAGTATTCATCTTGGGAGAAATCTAAGTGAATAATGCACTTGTATTAGCGGAGGAGATAACGGGAACTAACTTGATCTGACAGCTTCAATACTGTTAGTTGAGATATGGAAAATCCAACAGTTTGTAATAGGAAAAAGTTTGGCATCACTCCTAGCACGTGGCTGAAAAAGAGAGGAAGAGGCAGAAAAAGCTTAAGGTCAAGAGAGGGCAGAGACTGAATTCACTTGTCTTTTCCTGGTTCAGTCTTCCTTCTTCACCAACCTTCGGCTCTCCCTAACTCTGCCCTTAGTGTTCATTCCGGCAACTTCCTTCCCAAGCTTTCCCCGCCAGCCTTTACCCCAGGACTGTTAGCCAAGGCCTGTGACACATAAGGCTGGGGAGTTACTAACTTCCCCCAGCTGTGTTTGTGGAGTGCAAGCGAGGATCCCAGAAACCTCCGCTTTCCTGTCCAGCCTCCACCGAGAGGCCCCTGTTCTCAGGTTAAATACTTGCACAGAGATAAGCGCTACGGCCAGGCTCCCGCGCCCACCTTCTCTTCAGCCGGGGGAACGACGTCAGCCCCAGTGGCGCGACAGGAGACTGCGCAGGGCGCCAACGCCGCGGCCTCGGCTTCCCCCGCGCACCGGGCCCTGGGCGCCCGCCAGCTCCGGGAGACACGCTGCTCTCAGCCGGGATTCGTCCAGCTGCGGCCGCTTAGCTGATTCCCTAGGCCGGCCGGGAGCCGCGGGCTGGGCGGAGCGGGCGGCGCCGGCATTGTGCGTCACCACCTGGGAGGGGCAAACCGACCGCTGACGGCATCACCCCGGCACCTGCCAACATGGAAGGTGGTGACGGCGGCGTCGCTGTAGCTGGACAAGGGGCTCTGGGTTCTGGGGCGGCGACAGCGGCAGTCCGGGAGCTTCTGCAGGACGGTAAGGAGTCTGGGTCTGGCTGGGTGGTGGGCCTGGGGGTACTGTCCTGCTCCGCACCTGGAGCCGGGTGGTGGACTCAACCCGTCGCTTTGCAGAAAGTTTTCCGGTCTCGACGTGACCACTCCCCCCAGCCCAGCCAACCTGTTTCTCCAGAGACTAGCAGCCACCTTCCCTTCCGGGTGTCCAGGGGACACCTGATTTCTGGTTGCTACTCATTTCTCTCTTTTTTTTTTTCTTTTAAAGATTTTATTTATTTATTTGACAGAGAGAGACACAGCTAGAGAGGGAACACAAGCAGGGGGAGTAGGAGAGGGAGAAGCAGGCCTCCCTGCGGAGCAGGGAGCCCGATGCGGGGCTCGATCCCAGGGTCCCGGACCACGACCTGAGCCGAAGGCAGACGCTTAACGACTGAGCCACCCAGGCGCCCCATCTGGTTGCTACTCATTTCAGCTCTACCCTTCCTGCGCCTGAGGTTTCTCTGAAGTCCCGGGACTGCCGCACTCCGGTGACCTAGGTTGACAGCCACTGGCTGCTGCCGCAATTTTTGATGAAAGGAGGAAGCGTTGCCTCCCATGAAAAGTGAAAGACCTAGAACAGATAGATGACAGCTCTTAATGTTATCATTTTTAAGTGGAGTTGGAAGCATCCCTCTATTAACAAATTCTTGGATTACACAGGTGGCCCACTCACAGCCTAGTTTGTTTTTTACAAGGCGTTTATCCACAACCATGCATTGAATATAGGAGTTTATTGATAGTTTTGGACAGAGGAAAACTCTAGGAAATAAGTTAAACACCGTACATTTTGAGAAGTACATTAAATTCTATTAATTCAGTTAACACGCCGCAAATCTCTTATCCTTCAGAATGAAGTTCAAATTTCTTCTCATCTGTTCTTAATTTTCCTCCCTAATTGCCATCACGTTCTACCTGGTATTGAAATAATTTGTGTACCTAACTTTTTCTGCTGCATTGTAGAACCCCTTTTTATATTCCACAGTTAATAACGGTACCTTTCATATGGTGGGTGCAGAATAAAAATTTTTTAATGAACATCACAGTAAGCATATGCACACATTTGTAGACCAAAGTAGGTTATAAACAAAATAACAAAATTCTAGATTATTGTTTTTCTCTGAGTGTTGTGTATTATTGCCCTTAATTCCTTACCTTCTCCTGATAATGTATATACTTTTGTCAAAACTTTCTGATGAGGTGGTTTTCTGAACTAGATTGTGTTAGATTCTCTAGGTTAGGATCTCTGTCCAATGCATCTCTGTATCTTAATTTAAATTCCATTTAACCAAGTTTTGAACTCCTGATATGTGTGCAATTCCCACCCTCAAGCAACTTGCCATTTTAGTAAGGGGAAATAATCTTGTAAAGCTGTGAAGGTAAGCATTATAATATAGTGTTGCTGGGTAGCAGCATTGTGTACAAAGTCAAACAATACAGAGGAGGCTGACAACTGGGTGTGATTAGGGGAGTGTCAGGAAAGTCTTTCTAGATGGAATTGGTTCTGAAGTGTAAATAGAACTTCCCTAGATGAAGAAGTGGAAGAAACAGTACATGTCAGGCATAGGTATATATTTCAGTAGGATGCATTCTGGAATTGTAATCAGTTTTTGAAGGGTGAATAGTCCTTATTTCTGACTTCTGTATTTTCCTATTTAGTTCTCTTTTCCATCTTCCACAGTGATTATTTAAATCCTTACTCTTTCAGACCTCCCCTTTCAAACTCAACAAATGACTTTAAACTTCCCTGAAAAAAAGATAACCCATCAGATGTGAGCTTCCTCCATTTCTTGCCCCATCGAACCTATGAACTAAACCTATACCTGTAACTGGTCTTTTTCCCTTGTATTTTCCATTACACTAGAAGTAGAATCTCTGCTTCTAAGGACGGTCTTCCTTCTGTGCTCTGGATTTTTTTCCTGTCTCCTCAAGGACCCAGTCACCCTCATTCAATGCCATTGAAATCTCTTTGCCAAGGTCTCTAATGACCTCCTTGTGAATAAATCAAATGGATACTTTTTGGTCCTTATCTTACTTGAACTTGTAAAAAGGATTTGACTCTTTTCTGGAAATACTTCCCCTCATGTGACTTGTGAGTTCTATGCTTAAAAAAAAGAAAATTCCTAATTCTCTAAATGCTCTTTTCCAAGTTCCTTTAATTGCTAGTCTTCTCCAGTTTGCCCCTAATTCAGTGGTTCACACCACCCATTCTCTGTAACATTCCTAAAAATTAAACATTTCTGTCCGTAACAGTGATTCACTATGTACAGGATCTGCCAGTGGTAGAGGATAGGATTGATAGGGTTGGTGAGCAGATGTGTAGTTGGAATAATTTGTGAGCTGTTCCTGATGTACCTTCTATAGGAATGAGACAACTATAAAAGAGAAGCATTATATGACTTTTCTTCTGATGGACAATCAGTCCTCAAATGCCAAGTCCAGTGGCCAGTTTTCAGCCTTCACTGTTTTGATCTTTGTAAGATCTTTGACACTATTTACCACTTTCTCCAAACCGTCCCTTGCTACTCTTTCTTGTTTTTCTTTCTCTCTGAACGCTCGTTAGTCTCCTTGATTGCTTTCATTTTTCTCCATCTCCTTCCAAATTTTTGGTGTTTGCCTGGCTTCTGAACTCAGTCTTCTCCATTTCCCTCTTTTTGTGCATTCCAAAATTTATTCCTAAATCATCTGCTTTTTTTTTTTTCATGGTTTCAAAATTAATATAGATGCACACAAATACATGCATAGATGGTCCTTACCTCCCTTCTGAGCTATAGGATTACTGTCTACTGGACATTTCTATCTTGATAGTGAAAAGGCATGATTAGTTTTACATACCAAAAATTACATATGAACAAATAGTTCAGGTGCTATATGTGAAAAAGTGAGATTACTTCTTTTTTTTTTTTACCCCTTTCCTCTAACCTTCTCTGTTACCATCAATTGTATGTGGTTAATTAGATGTGTGCTTGTTTCCCATGTAGACTATGAGTTCCTTGGAGGCAGCAATACGTTCGTTTTTATCTTTATGCAAAGATGCCTAGTGGTCGAGCTTAATGCAAAGCTGAATTCTCTATGTCAGTTACTCAGTCAAGAATCATCCTTTTACTTCTTGCTCTACCTAATCACCCATTTTCAGCTTGTCTCTAAGTCCTACACATTATACTGCCTGAATATTTGTCAAATTAGTCACTTTTTTTTTTTTTTAGGGCTATTGTCTTAGGCCTTCATCATGTCCCTTGGGCTGTTAACAGCACCTTACTGGTGGCCTCTGCAGGTCTATTACATGAGTGTACTGGTAAACCAGCTTTCTGGTAAAATAGGAAAAGCCCTGATTTTATAGTGTATGCCAATTTCTATGTTATAAATACTCTCATCATGGTCAATTTTTAAGATGCCTACATGTGATGTCCCCTAGCTCACACAATTCCTGAAAATTGAACCGTTGGCTCTCAGGAGCCAATATCAGCCAGCTCCAGCACACCACTGTGTGACTAATCCCTTTTCAGTCATCCTCCATACTGCTGCCAGAAACACAAAGCTGACAGTGCTCTTTCTTATCTTTAACCTCAGTGAGATATAGTCTGAACACTTTAGAAGTCTTTACCAGTCTCTTTTTAAACTGCCCTCTCAGCCTTCCTTTGGAACCTGAACTATCATTCTTTCCCTTTTGCCCAGCACACACACACAGTGTGATCTAGACACACTGATGTCAGCGTTGCCCTTATTTCTCAAAATATGCTATGGCATTTGCTGCTTCTAAACCTTCCCTCTTCTTGGAGTAGCCTTCTCCACTTAGCTGCCTCGCAAGATCCTTAATTCTGAAAACTCCCTGGCAAACTGGAAGGAAATGGGGATCCCAGAATTAAGGCCAAAGTAGCAGTTTTTCTTTCACTTTGAGAATCATCAAGAATGAGTCTTTGCTCTTTGCAGAATGCTACTTGCAGCTGATATATAGGTGAATTGATTCATTTAACCGTATGGAACACCTGCCATGTGTCAGGCATTGTTCAGGCTCTAGGGATGTGGGAGTAAACAAAACAAAGCTCTTGCCTTCATGGAGCATACATTATATGGATAGAGACAATGGTTGCTGGTTAGTTTTATAATCTCTGTCAGGGTGGTCTTACCTTATCTCCCACACGGGTGGAAGATAGTGGTTTTATACCTACACTGAGCTCAGTTCTGCATAACTATTTTTACCTCTTAATTCTCTCCATTTGTTTTTCACCCACAGATTTTTGGGTTTCTGTACTGAAAGATATCTTAATACCTAGCATCACTTCTTTTTTGGGTTCATTAAGGGTCTGTTTTGAACATAGGCTGTCTTTCCATTTAGTTATTTTACCCATAAATCCTTAGTTTCAGTAACACCTGAAAGTTTGTGTTTGCCTATTTCTGTTAAAATTCCAGCTTCACTTTATTATGACAGCATTTGTGCATTGATTTAGAGATATCGGAGACCATAAATATCAAATATAGTCAATTTGCCTGAGGTCATTGTCAGTGACCTTGTTGCATTAAAGGCTATGGTTAGTAGTTAATTTTTAATTTTCTACTCAGTATGTTCCTTTTGACTCACTGGTAAAAGTTAACTTTTAGCAGTGTAATATAGGGGTTCAGAGGGTGGGCTCTGCAGCCTGGATTCAAATCTCAGACAGGTTGGACAAGTTGCATGCCCTGTCTTTACCTGTCTCTTCATCTGTGAAATGGGGGAAACGATAGTTCCAGCAGGGTTGTGTGAGGATTGAATGCATTAATATGTCTAAAGTGTGTGGGTCAGTGCCTCACCCACAGTAAGCTCTCAGTGAATGTTACCACTCTCTTCTCATTTACAACAGTTCTTGGTGTTTAAAAAGATGTCAAAGTATGTTATCTGTAATTGTTTTATTGTCTGATATCTGTGGTTTAGTGCAGTGCAATTAATAATTAAAGACTTTTCCTTGTTTTTTTTCCCTAGAGTGTTATAGTGATTTTTTAAATGAAGACTTTGATGTAAAGACTTATACTTCCCAGTCAATTCATCAGGCTGTAATTGCTGAACAACTAGCAAAACTTGCCCAAGGAATCAGTCAGTTGGATAAAGAACTACACCTACAGGTATTTCCAATCTTTTTTTTTTTAAAGATTTTATTTATTTAACAAAGAGAGACACAGTGAGAGAGGGAACACAAGCAGGGGGAGTGGGAGAGGGAGAAGCAGGCCTCCCGCTGAGCAGGGAGCCAGATGCGGGGCTCGATCCCAGGACCCTGGGATCATGACCTGAGCTGGAGGCAGATGCTTAACGACTGAGCCACCCAGGCGCCCCAGGTATTTCCAGTCTTCTGGATCATCTGGATTCTTTGACCTAAAACAATAATTTATCACTTGTAATCCTTGCATTATTTAATCTAAATGCATATTTAAGTGAGCAAATTTGTAACTTACCAGTGTGGCTTATTTTTCAAAGTATGTTTTTGAAAAGTTTTCTATAAACTACTTTTTCTTAGTTGAAAAACTAACATACCCGTCTCTCCAAAGGGGTATGTTATACTTTGTTTTCACTACCTTAATAGATGTGCAGTGAATATAGGGGGCTGAAAAATAGGAAGCCTTTGACAAAAGTAATAGGAAATGGAATTTTGGAAGTAGAACACTGAATAAGAAAAATTGGTGTGTTCACATTGGCACTTCCCACTTTATGAATGCAAACTGTAGTATTTGCTGAAATTATAGAAAGTTGATAAATTTGTGGTAGAACACAATATGGGGAATTAGGAGATGGGTCCTAATCTCAGCTGTGCTGGTACCTTTCCTATCACTTAATGTCTTTGAGTTTTGCTTTTAAAAAAGGAAATCTATTAAATGGGTTGGAGTGAATAAGGAGGAAGAGATTAGAGTGGAAGATCTTGAAGGTTCCTTCCTTTTCTACAATTCTGTAATTTTATAGGGAGTTTTATAGTATACTTCCCAGTGTTGGCTTTTGTCTGTTGAGTAGGCACTTAATAAATATTTAAATGAATGAACAAATGCATGAATATATAGACTGTTTACCAGGAAACTTAGATCTAGTATAACAGGAGACATATTCACTTAAATTTTTTGTGTTATACTTTATCTATTGAAAGAGTAGCTTAGGACTGGGATGACTTCTAAGGTCACTTTAGCTTTGATTATATATTATATATTTTAATTTTATAATTATATATTTTAATTGTCAGGATTCACATTAGGCTGTGGGGATAGAAAAATGAACATATTTCCCAGCTCTCCAAGGACTCACAGACCAGTGGCAGATACAGAGAGAAATAATGAGAGGCAAGTGATAGTACAAAACGTTCATAAAAGCAGAGGAGAATGCACTTAACTCTGCCTAGGGTTCTCAGGGGTGGCTTTTTGTAATAGCCACCTGAAATTCTTTTTTATGATTGGTATTTTCTTTCTTTTTTTTTTCAAGTTTTTATTTAAATTCTAGTTAACATACAATGTAGTATTAGTTTCAAGTGTAGAATTTAGTGATTCATCACTCATATACAACACCCAGCGCTCATCACAAGTCTACTCCTTAATCCCCATCACCTATCTAGCCCATCCCCTGCCCACCTCCCCTCCAGCAACCCTCAGTTTGTTCTCTATAGTTAAGAGTCTGTTTCCTGGTTTGCCTCTCTCTTTTGTTTCCCCCCCATGTTCATCTGTTTTGTTTTTTAAATTCTATATATGAGTGAAATCATAAGGTGTTTGTCTTTCTCTGACTTAATTTGCTTAGCATAATACTAATACCATCCATGTCGTTACAAATGGCAAGATTTCATTCTTTTTTTTATGGCTGAGTAATATGATTGGTATTTTCTTTATTTCTTGCATGCAGTACTCTCTTTGCAGGAATCAATAAAAACTAAAAATTTATTTAACATCTCTTACAGGGGACAAATTACACTTATAGTAGTCTGGAGTATGAAGTGGAAGCCTAGTATGAGATCTGAACCTGCTATAATCGTTTTTCTGCAGAAGCAAAATTGGGATAATGCTAACCAAACCCGTAATTTTCTTTTTTAAATATCATTGAGATGACTAAAATAACAAAAGATGTGATGAAGTATGTATTAGTTGGGGCTTAGGACAGGAAACAGAGACCACTCTAGGTATTTAAAGCAGGAACATGTTTAATACAGAGAACTGGATGCTTCTGAAGTCAGCCAGTGTACTGAGTTGAAGGATCTACCTTCATAGATGCAGTGCGGAGGCCTGGAAGTTCCAGCCATTATCGCCCATGCCACTGCTAAAATTCTGCCACGGGGTATCTGATAACTAAATTCTAGAATGATTGATATGGCTTTTCCAACCATCTCTAAATTCTCAAGTCTCAGGACCTTGCTCATTACTAACTGAAACAGTAATAAGGAAATAGCTTTCCTTTCTTTTCTGTCTTCAGATCTCTTGGAAATTCATCCAGCTGGCTGCAGGAGAGTTTATGAAAGTCTAGTTTTAGGAGTTTCAACATTTCCAAAGTATTCTTCACACAGGAAAAAGAAGAATAGAGAATTAAAATTAGTCTTGTTAGGATGGACACATCGATGACCGTATCAGTGGACTGGGGAGAATTCAGACATGTTCTGGCCATCTTAACAGATGTGGGAGACCAAAAGTAATGGTTATTTTAGATGGATGTGATAAAAAGGGACTTGATAGAATAACAGTGATATCTGAAACAGGACAAAGTGGAGGATGTAGGGGTTCCAGTGAATGAATCCTTGCTGACTAGGAGCTTCAGTTTCCAGCCTAGATAGGAAACTTCTTATTCATTAGAATTGAAAAGGTACAAAATGATAAGGATTCTTGCATTATTCTAAAAATTTGTATGATTTCTTGATATTTCTAGGAATCTCTTGCATGTGGTCTTTAACTCTTAAACTTTGAGGGTTTTTGATGTGATCATTCACACTGCCCTAATTTTCATTAAAAAAAACCAGTCTTGCACAGGGAAAAGGATTTGCCATGACCCTGGGAAACTGAAAACAGAGAGATGTTGAGGGATAGGTGGGTACTGACTCTGCTTTATCTTTTCAGATTAGAATATGCTGAATTAAGTTCAAGAACTAAGAGAATCTAATGTTTAAAAACATTTTTACAGGGAAAGCATATAATAGCATGGCAAAAATTAGCTGGTTTGGGGGTTTTTTTGTTTTTGTTTTTTTATTTTTTATTTTCTGTTTTCAGTTTTGGCACAACTCTACCTGCACTTCCCATTAGGAAAGCAAGGGGCTGGTGAAAAGGCTGTGTCTTCTTCGGCTCTATGTTCAACTATAAGCGTGTTTGTGTTTCTACTAATAACTCATCTCAAGTAAACCTTTATCACCTGAATTTTTTTCTTCTGTGTCGGTGTTTGCGCCCTCTAATATGGAGAGAGACCTTTATTCTACCTTGTGGTTACAAAGAAAAGTACCTAATACAGCAAATTCTTAATTTTCAGGTTGTTGCAAGACATGAAGATTTACTAGCACAAGCAACTGGGATTGAGTCTTTGGAAGGTATGTTTCCATTAAGTACTATAAATTAGATTGAGGTAGACCAGGGATTGGCAAACTTTTACTGTTAAGGATCAGATAGTAAATATTTTAGACTTTGCAGGCTATACCATTTCTATTGCAACTACTAAACTCACTCTGCTGTTGCAGAGTGAAAGCAGCCAGATAATATTTAAATGATTGTGGCTGTGTCCCAATAAAACTTTAATAAAACTTTATTGACCTCTGAGCTAAACTATTTGGGTTCAAATCCTTGCTTTGCCACCTAATAGATATGTGACTATGGGAAAGTTATTAACCTTTTTGTGCCTCCCTTTTATGTATAAAGGAGGAGTATTAAAATGTACCTATATGGTATTATTTTGAGGGCTAAGTGAATTAGAAAAATGGTTAGAACAATTCCTGGCACATATTTAGTGCCTCTATAAAATTAACAGAAAATTGTTAATTAATAAAAACATCAATACCACCAGAGTGAATAATAGTGGAAGTAGGCTTGAATACTTTCCTTGTTTTTGGCTTTCTCTGAAACTTTTTTCAATGAAAGTATAATAGAATAATGATACATTGGGGGCGCCTGGGAGGCTCAGTTGGTTCAGCGTCTGACTGTTGATTCAGCTCAGGTCATGATCTCAGGGTTGTGACACTGAGCCCCGAGTCAGGCTCCATGCTCAGTGCAGAGTCTGCTTGAGATTCTTGTTCTCCCTCTCCCCTCACTTGCGTGCATGTGCGCGAGCACTCCCTCTCTCTCCCCAAATAAAACCTTAAAAAAAGAATAATACATTGGATTTTTATTTTTATGAGTCTTATTATTTTTGATTGGCTAAATCTTCTTTGAATTTTTCATTCTCTTGATTAAATTAAACTATGTCTTATAAATATGGAATGTTAATATGTTTTACGTTATCACTTGTGTTGTGATTACTATTATTAATCCTTACACATTAAAAGAAAACTAAGTGATATTCCCTATGTTGATCAAATTCTTGAGGAGGAAGGATATTGCTTTCTAGGATGCAATATTCTTTAATGCTTCCCCCAGTATTTCTTATGCACTCAAAGGCATTAACTTATTCTCGGCATGTATATTGTTTCTCAGACATCCTGATGAAGAACTTAGTATTTGAGGGAATAATAGTTTGTTATTTGAATATTTAGGATGGATATCAGACTATGTTTTTGGGAAAACTGAGTACTGACCACTTCCTATTGGAAATTAATTATTTTTAATCTCCTAATATTTTATGTGTTTCTGGAAGCAAGTAAATAATATCTTGTTTTAATGGTGATTTTTTTTTTAAAAACAAATGATAAGTGATTTTTTCATTTGTAAAACTCATAAGAATGGCTAGTAGTACTTTGATTCTGAGTGTATTTAGGAGTAGATGAATCATCACAACAGAAATAGTTCTTATTGTGGTTTTCTTATATGCGTTTAGGTCTATAATGTGCTTGTTTTTCCCAAAATGCTTTCAGTGATTATAACATTTAAAATACATGGTTAGGGCGCCTGGGTGGCTCAGTTGGTTAAGCGACTGCGTTCGGCTCAGGTCATGATCCTGGAGTCCCGGGATCGAGTCCCACATCGGGCTCCCTGCTC